GGATGTAACGAAGTGTAAATTTAATGTCACCGACTGTAATACTCTAATACTATAGTGGCCTTCGTATTAAGTTAAGTCATTTCCTTTCGAGAGAAACGAAATAGCGCGACTTAAAGCGTCTGAGAGCCGGGAAACTAATATGTCTATCACGTGATCGCATCGCTACCAATGAAAACAGAAAAACCGATTTATTATATGACGTCATAACCAAGACAAAACTGGCCTTGAGACCGGTGTGAGTGTACAATTCAACTTGAAGCCAGTGACAATGTATGTTCACTTGGCTCTAAAAACCGGTAAGTTTTCTTCATGTCACTGAGCTGATTTGAACGGTCTTGTGTGCACATAATCTTACTAATCGTCCAAGTGAATGTGTAGGTTGGGTTCGAAAGGCATGCTACGAAATAGCGACGTTCGAGAAATGTGAATTTTTTCATTTGTTCCGAATTGTATTTTTTCTTCAGTGCTGGTTTTGTACTTTGTAAAAGATAACTGCATAACTGCTACAGGTAAGAGCTATTTCAGTTAGTGCTGCTAAGTTCAGTATTTTACACTATGAAGTACTTCAGTTTTGGATAATGTGAGGTTTCCTTCTTCCAGCTTGCCCGAAGGAGACAATCAATGTAAAGGCTACTCTCGAACCTGGATGGAACTACGAGATCAAAAGTCCTGGTTTTCCAAACAATTACCAGCCCAACCAAACTTGTACTTGGAGGGTATTTTTCCCTGATTCTATGGARAACCTGCGCGGAAAATATAGGATGATGTTGGTGTTAGACGCATTGGAAATAGAACCTTGTACGAGCTGTTCTTGTGATTGGTTGGCGCATACTTACAGCAAAAGTAATTTACCAACAACCTYTGATAGAAAATGCGCATTGTACTCCAAAAATGCCATTGCCACTCTAAAGAAATCTGATGACCGCAGCAAAATTCGCATTTTCACAGATCCAAGTTACAATGAATTTTGGCTACAATTTCGTACAGATGGTTCTTCCGAATTCAAAGGTTTCAAAGGAAAAATAACGGTAGTGAAAGAATGGGAATCCAGTAAATGTTGGTATGACAACAACATTATCAACGAGACAAGGGGGAGCATTTCCAGCCCCAAGTACCCATTGAAATACATGCCAGGTCAGTGTATAAAGTGGCACCTTGTTGTTCCTAAAGGATTTCGAGTCAAACTCACCTTTAAGGATTTTGATCTGGATAATGCTCGTACCAGTGATAACGACTGCAAAAAGGACTATGTAGAAATAAGAGATGGGACGCTGGGTAGATCCGGTGAGTTGCTTGGTCGGTTCTGTGGTAGTACCATTCCAGGGAAGATCTTCTCCTTATCCAATCAGATGTATGTATCGTTCGTGAGTGACAACAATGGACAGAMAATGCACAAGGGCTTCAATGCGCACTTTCAGATGGATGGTAACCATAGCTCCCATTCGCCCTCCCATGCAGGTAACGTTTTATCAAAAATATCAAATAAGGAGGAGGTATTTGTCAACATTTATCCATCACATTTCCTTTTTACCATGTTTCAGGTGATATTCAAGTCAAGCCATCCTTCACGTATTCTGCTTTAGTGATGGTGGTTGTGATCGTGAAGAAACTCCTTTATTAAGAAGTCTAGTCTCTAGTGGACAATCATGATATAGATTAACTATGAAATAAAATACAATGGCTTAAATATTATTAGTTTAGATTTAAGGACGACAACTGTCATAAAACATTTTAAGATAAGACAATCACTACTTAATTTTACTGAAATTTATTTTATTTTAAATCACTATTTTATTTTAAGATTAGAAAATCCTTATGTATTATTGGTAAAGCTCGTAGATATATTACAAAACAAAGATACCCTGTAAGGCAAGGTTATATGTAGATCTGTGAAGTATTCAAATTCACCCATGATAGCATCAGAGATACATGTTTATTATATAGACTTCAAAGAAATACCTTCGATAAATCGTTGTAAATGGATAGCTCGAAGCTAAAATCCGTATCACCGCTTCGGTCATGTAATATCCTTGAATATAGGTTATTTCACGGTAAGTGCGACGTACGGCGGGATTTTTTTCACGAGTTGTTTGTATCATACAACGAACGAGCGAGGAACGAGCGACGCGCGCGTAATTTCCTTCCTCAAGTGAGCTGATGTGTATGCTCTGCTACAGGTACATCTCTTGTCTTACTGAAGTCCTGTCTTTCTATGTTGCATGATGATTAGTTTAAATTTTATAGAAATAAAGCTACCTGAACTGAAAACGAACGAGACAAATTTCTATAATTTCTGTTCGTTGATAGAAAGTCGTAGTCTCCTCGCAGACGTTCTTAGTGGCGGGCTCCCTTGAGGGACAGGGAGCCCGCCACTAAGAACGGCTGCGAAGAGAGTAAGAAAGTCGCGAATCTGATATACTAAGTTGCTTTGATTTCCCCTGTCCAGGTTACACAAAATATGGAAGTTGGACCAATATCGACATAGCAACCGGTCCAAAATGGAATGTACAGACCGTGTGCAAGCCAATTAGAATGCAGGAAATTTAAGAGCTATAAAACGCTTACTTTGAAGAGAAGAGAACACGTCGAACTTCACATCATAGCAAACTTTGTCTTTCGTTTTTGTTCTTCTTGGTTTTTGAACTGCCGAATATTGCCCTCTGAAACGCGTGACAAATTATTGTAGATGCTCGAGATGTTCAAATAGTTGACATAGTTCAACAACGATAGACTCTAAAGAGAACCGATTTAGTAAAATGTTTACATATGTAATTTAGAGAGATTATAAAGAAAGTCT